TCTCTGCTCTCTTCTCCCTCCTTGGTATGATTTTCCTTTTTATTCTTTTGGATTTCCACATTTTAGACTTCTAAGTGCTTTTTAAACCTTGCCTAACATCTCTTACCATCCACTAGATGTCATGGTAGCCTTACTAGTATTATTGAATAGAAGAATTGCCAAACCAAATTAGGAGGGAGTTTTTTGAAGTTTACCTCCACTCTGTTTCTGACAGACAAGCCTTTAGACAGTGTGTTCAGGACAATATCAAGTGACAGGGAGCTGAGTAAAATGATTCTGCGCTGAAAGTTTATCTCCCTTCTTTCTGGAAACTGATACAAGGTATGTGCAGGTTGTTTCTTGTAGAAATTTCCAGCATCCCTTTGACAGCAAATCTAATGCAAGGATTGTGGAACAGGCCAGTAATCCTTGTGCTGGGTGAAGAAAGTAGTGTTTCCAGATTTTGTTAATGTGGATGCACATCAGCTCTGCAATAAGCTCCTCCACATGGGCAAGTAAAGATGGAGCAGTAACTGCTTTTGGATGATGCCTGATCAAAAGCCATTTATAGATGTGCACAGGAGCTCAGGGACTTTTCTCAGCACCCCATCAACAGCAGAATACCCAAGATTTTTAGACCAGTATGTTAAGACTGAGTTTGTAATTTCCTGAAAACTATAATTTGAATAATAACTGCATCAGAAGGAAATACTTACATTTTGATACAAGTCAAAGTTTCTCCTATTTACTTTTACAGTTTAAAAAGGAGCACACCATCATAGAAACAAACTCTGAAGAGGAAATCTCAACATATTTTTCAAAAAAGGAGTCTTTGCAGTAGGAAAAACAAACAACAGCTACCAGAATGTATGTAGTATACTTTTGTCTATTCTTGCTGTACTACTTCTGGTATTTCCATTAATAGAAGATATATCTTTGATGTGAAAAGGTGACAAAGTTAAGAAAGAAGAATGTCACACATGCTTGGCCGTGTATGAAGCTACTTAAGAATGGGATACATATGGGAAAAAATAATGATAACAACATTTACTTCACTGAAATATGTTACTGAAAAGTAAGGAAGATGGGAGAACCAATGCTTGCTCAAATATAGAAAATCCCATCCACAATGAGAACCCTTGACTCAGTTTACTGAAAAAAAGTATCACAAGAAGAAACAGATAAGAAGAATACAAATCTAAACCTGTATGTTTCAGGGCCCAAAACTGAAGGTTGCACAAGACAGACAGGCAAAATAGAGAACTTGCTCACGCTTTCAAAAAAACAAGAAAATTACAGCTATTTTGGTCATGGCTGAAGCTGAAGCAGTAAAATGTTTTTAAAAAAAGTGTTAAAACCCCATTATAGAGCTAAGAGGAATGGAAAGGAGCTAGCATATCTGAATTCACTGCATATTTCATTATGAAACTCTCGAATGGATTGATGTAGAAGTACTTGGTGCAATTTATGGGGGAAAAAAAGCACTTTCGTTTTTGTCTTCTAGAATAACTTCTCACATCAGAGATAAAAACTACACATTTGCTCTCTAGACAATGATCTAGTTAAATTAATAATCACATTTAAGTGTTGATGATGCTTTGCAACTAGCAAGAATGTGTTTAAGCACTTAATCAGCTGAGTAGCATTTTATCTCAAGAAAATTATTTTATTCATAACAAAGCTATACTGTTAGAATAACAATAACCCTATGTGCATTCTGTGAGGGACCACTTAGCATTACCGGTATGAAAGCAAAACTATTACCTAGCTTTATGCAAGAGCTAGATTCTACCTATCAAACATGCAACAAATAGAAGTGGCAGAAATTTGTAGATCAGAAGAAAATGATTTTAAAAACTCAAATCAGCTTAGTATACTTTATGGGCATAATTTTTTTGATTGAAACTGTTTGGTTTGGGTGCTTTTTTTAATTAAAATTTATATCTGTGTCTATTCATTCAGTTTTTCAGCACCAGTCAGCAGCATTCCCAAGTGGGCATACTCTATGCTGTATTTTTCTACAGTGTAGGTAACTATATTTAAACCTGTTTTTTCAGCCCTTCAGCCGTGTATGATTACATAACCATTCCTATACTTCAAGTTAGGCGACACACTTCTTTGTAGCTTGTTTTTAAACCAAATCAGAGATGCATCAATACACATTAGAAAATTGCACCTCCATTGATGAGCATTTAATTTCTGAATTCAACTTTATGAACAGAAATTATACAACTAAGTGGCAAACCTCTAGACACTTTCTCAACATAAAGAATACACACTGGCCACATTTGTTGTCAAATCAGGATTTACAAAAACTTTTGCAGTGACCCTGGGCTTGTACTGTTTTGCTAAATCATTGTATAATACTATTGGTATAGAGCAGACTTCTGTTTCAGGTGTAACAATCTGAACTGCAGAAAGAGAAACTGTATTTCCTCTCTTCCTAATTTTATACAGGCTTCATGCCTTTCAAATAGGATTTAAATACATCTTCCTACAAATTAAAACCAGGGTGTAACAAATCCACTATTTCACAGGCAGCTCTAGTTCAAGGCAGAATTTCTAAGGCATTAGAATTTTAGTATATCATTTCAGCACCTTATAAGGTCTGGAGATGGAGACAGAGGAGCATCCTTCCAGAGTTTGTGGGTGACACCAAGCTGGGAAGAATAAAACGTGGAGGGCAACACAGTGGAATGGACACCATACACTGAAAGACTGGGCTGCCATCCAGAGGGACCTATCTATGGTATAAGTATGGGCTGGCAGGAACCACACAAAATTTGGCAAAGACAATTGCAAATTCCTTGACACAGGAAGGAACAAACCCATACACTGGTCCACACTGGGTCACAGATCTGCTCTGCACAACCTCATTGATGGTAGGCTAAACATGAACCAGCAGTGTGGTGTGGCAGCACTGGGTGCCAGCAGCACACTGGGCTGTAGCAGCAACCAGTGGTTTGAGGGAAGGGATCAGTGCCTTTGACTTAGCACTTACAGCACATCACCTGGAAGCATATTCTGTCTCCTCCTCCAGCTCATTCAGCTTTGGTACAAAACACATGTTGATAAACTTGATCATGTTCAGTGGAGAGCTACCACCAAGAAGGCTGGGACTGGAACACTGAGGTAACTCTGTTTGCTCAGGCTAAAGAAGAAATACCTCCCCAGCACCTGTGAGGTGGTTACAGAGAAAGTGGACCCAGTCTTGTTACAATGGTGTACAGCAGAACAATGAGAGGCTACACTCCAACTGAAATAGAGAAGGTTCTGACTAAATATAAAGCTCACTATGAGGATAATTAAGCAATAAATGAGATTATTCAGAGACACTGTAGAATCTTCATCCTTAGAGGTTATTCAAGAGCTGACTGGACAGAGCCCTAAGCAACCTGGTTCTAATTCAGTGCTGACTGATTTGAGCAGCCTCCTGAGGCCTCTTCCAACCTAAGCAAGTCTGTGATTCTGTAATCCAGGTCACTACTCTCAGAGACTACCTTTTGTGTGCTCCAGTCAGGAGGAACTTACTACAGCTCCGTTTCTCCAAGAGTTAAGTTACTCATCTTTTACACTGTGGTCTGGAATTCCCTCTCATCCAGCTGTAGTGGATAAAATACAGATCCTTACAGAGGGAAAGCTTAATTCCCTATTACCAACACTTAACTTTTCAATCTTTATTGAATACCTATCCAATTCAAACAGTGATATGGAAAAGTCACAGCTGGATTGAAAAAAAAAAGTCTTCACATGCTATTAATCTCTTTGCATACAGTTCTGATACAGTAAAAGATATGAAGAAAAAAGAAAAATACAACCATTTTGCATATGGAGACCTTTTCCTATTCTCTAGTAAATTCTCCCTACTACAGTTAGCTTTCCAATTCCAAAATTTCTTGCACAGGCAGAAAAAAAATGTCAATTTGCAACACAGTAATTTTCCACTCTGAAACTGTTGATTAGATTTCACATGGTATTCTTGAAAGGCAGAGATAAAAGTATGTTAAAACTATATAAAGTTTAATATATCCCTTTCAAGACAAAATGCTATTTATAGGTAGAAGTAAAGAAAGCAAATGAAACTTGAGTAATGTGAAATTTAAAATCAAATGAGTCTAATTCTTATTATGTTCATATTGTAAAAAGGTTGAAAACCTCCAGCTTTTATGAGCCTAAACCACAAGACTTCACAAGTTTAAATTCCCCTGTCAGCAAAATATATTGTGACGTGCTCCTGTGAGAGGCTGAATAATCAAATGCGTGCTCAGTTATTAGACTTCACAAATTAGCCAGCAAATTAAAAGCTATCCCACAATAACACCCTGGAATCATAGTCATTTAACGAGTTTCAGAATCTGTTACTCTTACTTTAAAGCGTGTTTGTTCAATATCAGCTATTTCTTCAAACTGGAGCAAATAAAACCAGTTCTACAGCATTTATGGTTTGGAAAAAGTATAAAGCAAGTATTTTCTTTAAATTAACTAACATAATTGAGATTATAAATATGAGTTACCATCAAAAAACCTCAGTATTTACACAAAAGTATCCCAAAATAATGTCCAAAATCACTTAAGACATAGCTGTAATAAATGCGTCATAGAAATTGAGGGACATTTTGACTTCCCAGAGACTTGTACAGTGTTATTCTTGGACACATGGGGGATTATAATTTTTGTAAAGATAGGTGATACCTCTAAGTCCAAACAATTAGCATTGGTAGATATTTAACAGCACAACAGGTGAGAAGACAAAATCAAAACAATCTTGTAGCAAAGAAGTGAGACTGTCAACATCCTCTCCCTCCTCCCCTCAAAACTGTAAAAAGAACACCATTCATATAATTAAAGTCATATCCACATATTATTTAAAATATTTGATCATGATTAGTTTAGAAAGCCCTATGCTAACAAATTTAATTTCAAAGCCAGATGTCACAATCAATTTAATTTACTTAGTTGGTAATAAGCTACCAACAATTAAATTGTAATGGCTTTCCAATTCTAAAAGACACCATAGTTACCTGGTCTAAAAGATCTTCGACCTTTTTTTGCCATCCATCCCTTGCTGCATTTTTTTCACGTTCTTTCAGCTGCAACAGCTGAGTCATGGCTGCCTTCTTGTCCTCTTCATGCTGCAGCCTCAGCTCTTCACGAAGCTTATTACATTCCTGTCTAAAAACAAAGGTCAAATAACTAAAATGCAGTGGGACCTTGTGTAAGAAGTAGGAAAGAATCATGATCTCGGTAATAATTGGAAAATCTAAAATAACCAAAACCCTTGCTTTGCATTTCATTTGATAGTACATTTGCATATAATATATAGTTAATTTCTTATTAAAGAATAAAAGAAAAAGAATAATACTTGCCGAAGATTTTCTGTCCATTTTATTTCCAAGTCACGTGCCATTCTGTCAACTTTGAACTTTTCCTCCTCTCTCATGGCAGCAATCATTGCCTCGTGCTGTTGTCTCTCCTGATCTAGTTCTCCCTGCAAATACAAACTTTACAATAGAGACTGATCAGCAGCAAAAGTGTATTTCAAACATTAAATGAGTTATTGTATTTATAATCAAAGGGTATTCATAATAAAAATGTATTTTGATTGTATTTATAATAAATATTATATTTATTTGAGTGTATTTATAATAAAAATATCAATTATAATTGGCTCATAAATTTGAACTACAACTTCTTCAGTGTGAAATTCCTAGTTATGCACAATTAATGCTTACACATCTCCTGATATTTCTTACTTGTGAAACAGAAGTGTGCACTCCTACAAAAAGCAATCTTCCAATAAGTCATTCTGCAATCCTTCCAAATACCATTACGTTGAATCATGAAATAATTTGTGTTGTAAAGAACCTCAAAAGGTCAACAAGTCCCATACACTGAAGTACTCACTTCAGAATTAGAGCAGGTGATTAGAATTAGGTATTTTGTCAAGAATGCTTTGAATTTTATTTTTTTAATTTTTCTAAGCATCAAGGATCCAGTATTTGAATTTCAAAGCCTGAGCTACATGTGTGTGATACAAAGATCAAAGTTAATTTCTATTTCTTGATGGAATAAGCCTGCTAGAAACAAGGTTCCACAGTCTGAACACAGAGAGCACCACCTTTAAAATTCCATCAATTTCTGCTGAAGTTTTACCATACGAGAACAGTATTAGGTATCACCTAGAAATCCTACTTACATGAATGTTGTTCAGCAGTGCTTGCTTTGTTCACAAGAAGCAAACATAACCCCCCAAAACATTTTAAAATGAAACCTTTCCTGCAGCATTTTGATAATTTTTAAAATCTGATAAGATACTTGTTATTGCCAGTAACCTACTATATATGAATATTTAAATGTTTTAATAGGTGAAGAGAGCAACAGTAGTTCATAGGAACATTTAGAGACATTATATAAAATACAGAGGAAGTTATAAACTACAATATTGTTCATCTCCAATGACTGTAGCTGAAAGAAATAAAAAAATATATCAATAACCTGTTTCAGGCTGGTTTTGTTAAGAAAATATGAAAACACGTTCAGTAAAAAAAAAAATTTATAATATTTGCCGCTCTACATCAAATACTTTTGTGATCTTGTAAATGTACATTCTTTACTGAGGAACCAAAAAGGAAATGCTTACCCGGTATTGCAGTCAATAAGCTATTGACAGACTAACTGACTGTTCTATTTCCATCTAAGCCAATTAAAATGACAATGTATTAGCGCCTAGGCAAATTAATTGCTCAATGGTATAAAGTGGTCACATTATCTAAGTGACAGTCTGCTATCTTTAAAGATATCTTAGCATATATCTAAAAATTATTCTCAAGCCTTTACCGAAATTCTAAATTCAAGCCTGAAATGAAAACTGTGTCCACTATCCAAGGAAAACATGGCATATATGTATTCAAAAAAATCATCAAAAAAAATTCTGTGAATTCCAGAGCTAGTAAGCTCTGGACCTTGTTTTGCATCATGACATGAACTGTCTATAATTGCAAGCGTTCACTCACATCCTTTCATGAAATTCTGTTAGAACTCTGAACATATTTTGGCAGGTACAATTTACATTAACCACACAAAGATACGCCTGTACCACTGCCTGTTAAATTCAAAAAATGTTCTGAAAACCAAAAATGCCCACCACAAAACAATCAACCAATTATATAAAAATTAAAAAAGCCAAACCCCAAAACAACCTATTATAGTTTCCATTTTATAAATTTTCTGCTCAAAATAGAAATCTCTCCTTTAATGAAGCCATATGAAGCTCCTTCTATCACGTGTACCCCATAACAGTTCTAGGCATTTTAAAAACAAGGCCAAAATCACCATGACTGTGCTTTGCACAATTTATTCTCCAACAGTGTGGTTACCTCAACACTATACAGTGAATCTGTGGTCTCTCGCAGTCTTGCTCTCGTTAATTCTAGTTCTTTCTGGAGTATTTCCTGAGCTTCTTGAAGACTGGAGATGTGTCCTTCTGCAGTCCCGAGGCCTTGCTCACTTTTTCGTACTAGGTCTTGCAGACGACACACCTGTGACATTGCAAAAAAACCTGTAATTTCCATAATTATTACTAATGGCAGCCAAGCCATCCTGGTGTTTTTCAGTGATTCCTAATTTTGACCTAGACAAATTTTTAATTGCACTACTTGTTCTCTTTTAATACCAGTTAATGCTTCTGCATTTAAATTCCTGTAAAATTATAAAAGCAAAGACTCAATTAGAGGATTTTTACAAGTAAAAAAAATATATCCAATATGTGTTTGATATACATTGCAAGGAAAGAGGCTACATAAAAGATCTGAAATTGACTGTAAGTTTACATGAGAAAGCATGTTTTCAGCAAATTAATGAATATTTCAAAATACATAAACTCTAATATATAAATTAACTTGTTCTAGGGTTTAAGTTTCTCTGTTTTCAGATTGCTACCTGTCTAGCCTGTTTAAAACTCAAGCTAGCAACGATATAGTATAATGTAATAATTTCCTTAACTGCTATGTAAAAATACTCTTTTTTTCTGCCTGTTTGACTTCAGCTTCCCATCTGTAAAATGATGATACTACACTTCTTCCCTTCAAATAAAAATATGAGAGACTGCAGTTATAGGAAAGAAAAGCTTTTAAAGTATGTAGGTTGAAAAAACAGGAAAATGGGAGGCAGGGAGGAACAAAGAACAGCAGCTAACTGGAAGTGCATTTTTTTCTGAAGCAATAGTCTATACTATTGCCTTTGTATGTTGAGATAAATCCATCCACAATGGGCCAAGTGTCACAAGAAAAGACTAGCCTTTGGTTTACAGGCATGGATAGGTAAGAATTATAACCACTCTTCCTGTTTGTTAGAATAATTACATACAAATACTGTTTTTAATACACACAAAGACACCAACACCACCCCTCTCTCCAGGAACTTTTTCCCTCTATTGACAACCTGTGAAGTGTTTAAAAAGATGAACTCCTCCTTTCCCCTCAGAAAGGAATCCGAAATTCCTTTGGCATAAGGGATCTCAGTGAAAAACTCGTGAACTTGAGCACTTGTCTCTGAGCTCCTTTGAGTTATATTCAACCAACCAGTAATTCCCTACAAAGCACTGCTACCTGAAGGAGAATCCCTACAACAAAAAACATCCCCAAACTGCATTGGTATCCCTGTAGTGCACTGCTGTCTATGTATCTGACAGTAGCAAACCACTTGCATCATATGAATACCAGTCCTGTAGATCTAAAGGATATGGGAGCAGGCAGGAATGCCACTCATAGGGCTTAAGATATAGTCCTGCTGTTGACAAAGCAGTGATGGAGGCTGTTTAAAATGATCTTTAATAACTTCATCAGAAATCCTTTGCTTGGAGACAGCAAGTCCTTAGATAGCTGTGCCAAGTAATGCAAACATACCAACATTCTAAAAGGCCTTGGCTGGTCTACAGTGAAAGGAAACAAATCTAGAGTGAACAGCCGGCCTCACCCTGAGACACATGTGAGAAAGCCACTATCTTGACTTAACCCAAACTCCCAAAAAAATCTCTGGCAAGTATTTAAGATTACACTGCTCTTAAATAGCTTAGTACTAGAAGCAAGCCTAATAAGGCTTCAATCTTCCCTCATCCTTTAGCTAAGGTAATTGCCACCAAAAAATCTGTCAAAAAGAAAAGGAAATGGCATGGGTTGAAAAGCAGCTTTCTCAGCAGGGAAGAGAGAACTGAGCTAGCATCCACAGAAAGCAATGAATACAAGCCTACTGTTAAATTACTTCTCTAACTTAAAGCAAGCAAAAAAAAAAAAAGGAAGCAACAGTAGCAGTGTAAAAGCTAAGCTAATAATGTGTCAGACACACCACAGGGAAGCTTTTTCTAGGTCAGTGAAGGCATTGAGAAACTGTTGTTAGTTGTCAATAGAGATCTAAGGCCAAGCTGTGGTTGCAATTGAAGCACATCTTTCATGTCCTCAAGATAAACATAGTAATGAAATGAAACATATCTCCTCTGTACTTCATGGAGCAGATTTACAGACCAACCCAAATTCATCACCTGTATGTTGTCTCTCATTCTTTCACTATGGAAAATATATGGAATTGCATTTATCCTGGCAAAAGATTGTATATAAACTTGAATATTGGACAGCAGCTGGACCTAGTTCCCTATTTTAGTCTTTCTTGTTCCTTAACTTTTCCTCTGTTTGGTTAACTCAGCATGCTGATGAATTTTCCAAGACAGAATTTGATAGCAGCTGGATAACAGAAATTCATTCTTAAAACATTTGAAGTTATTTCCTTCAAGGAAGGAGAAAGTTTATTGCTCATTAACCCAAGAGAAATTGATAAAGAATAGCTAGAGTCAAGCCTATAGGGTTAGATGATGATAGAATGACAATAGAGCTCTACTCAGATCTAATCCAGTAACAATGAAAGTTAGCATGCAACAGAGAAGTTAAAGCTAAAAAGAAGTAACTAAACTCCATGTAATTTTGAACTGAAAAATAAAGCTGTGTATGATTTTGTTAAGATATATAACAAATACATCATATTTTCATCAATTTGAATGCAGGTAAGCACAGTGTTAAAAAAGAAAGAGCAGTTCCAGCTTAAAGCTGCACCTTCTCTAAGCTCTGAAACAACCATACTGGCAATCCTCAGGAGGAAAAATCCTCCTGTTCAAACAGCTACTCACAACTGACCAATCAGCAGAGCTGCTGAACTCTAAAGGTGGGAGGTCCAACTACCCTGGTAGAGTATGAGCTCTGGCATATCCATCTATCTGGTAGGTCCTACTCTGAAAGTATATATTAATACATATTTTCAGAATATATACTTTAATATATAATAACCAAATACATTATGATGCTATTAATATAGCAGTGTATCAATAGATTATTAATGCAGTAATATATAATATATTAACAATAAAATCTATAATAAGTTTATCTATACTTTTGGAAGAGCAAACTTCCCCATTTAGTATATTAAAAACAGGCAAGTTTTTTTCTTAAGCTAGCTTAGCATTTGTGCAATTTGCAAATCACCAGAATTAGACACCTGCTCTCTCCAGATGTTGTAAAGTATAGAAAGCAGTAATGAAAAATGTTGCTGCAAAATAATACTTAAATTCATGTCTAAGTCTCTCTTAAAGCACACACTGAAGCCATGCATAGGGCATTCATAATACTGAATAATAAAGCTGATGAAATATTTTCTTGAAAGAAGGCAAAATTTCCAGAGAAAAAGGATTTGATGTTTTTGATATCAGTAGAATGTACTTCTAGCTTCAAAATACTGCATTATGAAAAGGTGGTGATTTCCAACTAAAAAAATTAAAACTGTCTTGAGATATGATACATTTAACACTGATTGCATATATAAAGACATAGTGAATAATTTGGGTCTTACTAAAAGTTTTTCATATAATTTTTTGATGAAAATACATGAAAATGATTTCCAAGTCAGGAAACTGACCAGAATTTATGATATGTTAACCATAACCAAATGTGGGTTTACATTAATCACTGAATTTCTCTCTCTCCTGACATATTTTGTGTAGAGGTCTGTGTATCTAATGACAAGATAAAAACAATTAAAAATAAAGAGCTGTTTACATTAGCTGTTTACATCTTTCTTGCTTTGTTAATTTTGTAAAGGACAATAAAATCATTGCTCAGAAGCAGTCAATCAGCTTGCTATGTTTAAAGAATATTCCACTCTAAACAGAAGTAAGGCATTAAACACTCAACAGCATAGTCCTAGACGTGTCCTGGAGTCTAAGATGACTATTGATAAAATGTGGTAGCTGAAACAAGCAAGTTAGTCCTTGCCTCCTGATTGGCAGAAGTCAGCTTCGTTGTCAGCTCTTCCTTCACGTTTTCCAGCTGCTGTCGGAGCTGATTCTTATCATCCTCCAAATGCAGTTTCTCTTTCTCAAACTGCTGCTCCAACTCCTTCAGAAACAGGAAGGATGGAAGAAACATTAAATACTTGTAATGCAATCATTGTAAAGTCGACCACATGAAAATGATTCTAACTGGCAAAAACACTTGTGATACCCTTCCTTAAACTGTTAAAAGCATGAATATTTATTTCCTTTTACAACAGATGTCTTAACTTTTCAGTTTATTTTATCTTTGGTTAATCACAAAATAAAGACAAACAGGACTTTCTTCTCAATTATCAAAAGCTTTAAAATTATGTCTACTTCCACAATTTATCAGTCTGAGCTGAAAGAAGAATTTTCCATTTTTTATAAAATTACACTGATAAATCTGCATGTCATTCAGCCTTTACCCATCTACTTCCTACAAATAATGCCCAAAGGAAAGAGGAAATCTTAAAACTCAGATTGAGCTCTGTGAAGTTTTTCAGAATGTTATAATAAACGAAAAAAAATCCCCACACCATATGTCTATAAAATTTATGTAGAACCAAAAGAGATCAACAATGAGTTTTCAAGTTTAACTACATGGAAAGAATCAAGTAACACCCCTGTTTTCATTCAATCTTTATGGTGTAATAGCCAAATTTTCAAAATAACTGCTGGAGGAATTATATTTCTCTTACATGAGCCAATGTTGCGTGTGCGTATATATACACACATAAATGTTAGAAACTTTTATATTTTTTAATGAAAATTATAAATTTATACCTCATCTTTATTAATATTCAGAATACATTTTCATAAGAACAATTTCTTTCACAAAATATTTTAAAGGAAACACGTTAAAATTGAGAATTTTATTACATATTTCTGTGAAATATACTATATAACTTATAATACTGCAAAGTTTTAGTGAAAGAAAATTAAGGTTGCCAAGCAAGGTGCTCCAGAGTCATGCTATACAAAGCTTCAAGGTTTTCTATGGAGCTAGAGGCTCTCTTATTAACTCCTTCCTAAGGGCTCAGCTGAAATGCAAGGCTTAGCATTGATTCAGTGCCTCTGTGCAGACCTGGGCTCAAGTTTCTGAAAAATCAGTATTATCTCAGAAACAGCCATGAAAATACATAGCCCAGAGCCAGCCTGAAACAAAAAGTACAAATGGAAGTATTGGTAAAATTGGGGAAATAGGGAGAAAGAACTAAAGAGGAAAAACAGTCACTAAAAGATATAAAAGTCTAAGGAAACCCAAGGTTTCCTGCTGCAAGACAGACATGAAGTGTCACCCAGCCAACCCCAAGAAGCAACAGAGGCCAAGCCTTCCTCATCCAAACCCAAAGATGCCTCAAGTGTTTTGCAGAAGGTGGTAAGCACATTAAGCAGCTTGTTAGTTCTAGCACTGCTTTAGGATATGTGGTAGGCAGTAAATAATTTCTGCATACACTGCTTGCACAATTCATGGTAGAAGTTGGACAGAGTGACAAAACAGAGGGTTACACTGTTACTAGCACATTACTAAACAATGGAACTCAACAAGTGCCTGCCTTCTTCACTGGGTCCACATGAGTCAACACATGGGATAAATGTTCCTTGCTCAGTGAAACTTGATCAATTTGTCTTGATCATGCTAAAATCTGCTGTCTGCAAAATTCCACTGGTGCTATTTAGACCCTATTCTGATAACAGAGTAATTATTTCTCTGATGATACTTGTCAGTACAGCTGTGCGGTACTGCAAAATTATTAGCAACTCTATTTTCATAATCCTCCTGATGCCATTTTTACAGCTCATTTTATAGATGGAAATACTGAAGCAAAAAGAAATATTTGAGCTATTTTTTGAGTCCTACTCTAATTCTGCTGAATTCTCTTCTGTTCCCCAGATGCATTTCCCAGGCTTCCAGTCCAAATGAATCCTCATGTCCTCTATCCCAAAGCTCCTCGTACCATGCTTCTTCCCCATACAAAATTCAATTCTGCTTCACATTTAAGCTTGACTGTTTTCTTCCCTGGATTACTTGATCACCACAACATGTGATTAGTGAGACAGGTTTGACAGAGAAGAGAGTGAAATCTGATTAAGATTGACTGATACCTTGATCCTAACATCTCTTCATAGCTAGTTTTCATTGTTAAAACACATTTCTCACACTTAGAGAGGTGTTTCCTGTTTAAACTAGTTTAATGTTGTAAGAAAAAAAGTTTGTGATCTCCATTTGTTTTATTCTCCACATTATTTTAGTAACAAACAAAAGAAAAAGAATCCTACATCTTACTGAAATAAAAGGAAAATATACCCAGAAACCCTAAGAGACATTGTCTTAATAACAGGCATATTTAAAGTTTTAAAGAAAGTAAACCTGCAATATCAAATTCATATATGTCTCTGAGAACTACTTCAATTTCTGGGTGACAAAAAACATATTTTGGATTTATTAAAAACTGAACTAAGAAGGAAGATACTGGTAGAAAAATTTACAAAACTAAACCAAATCTGTCTGAAATGCACATCACTAACTACAACCATATTCCTTGGTATGTTTCCTATGAATACATCAAAAGAAATATAACATAGCCTTGAATTAAACACTTAATCCTGTATTTCCTGTATGAGGCAAAATTTGTGTATAACACACATACAATCAGATCAGGAAATAGTAATTAAAAAATGGACCTCTCATCCTGACAAAGAAAAGGCCTGATTTGTGAAGTAAAAAAAAGCCTTTCAGTTTAAGGATTCCAGTCAAAGGTAAATGTATAGTTGCTGTACAGGACATAATTTTATGATGCAAGCTTGGAACAGCGGTTGTCATCTTCTGTGTACACATATAGCCAAGTCCTAATAAAATATCTTTCTGTACTTCTGGACTGCCAATGAAAATTTTAAATAAATGTTATAATAATATGATCTTTCATCTCCTTCAGAATAACTGATCTTGATATACCAACCCTTCTGCATATGGGTCACAAATCCCAGGAAAATGGAACTATTATACTTGAAAAAACATTTGTGTAAATGGGGAATTTCTCCTCTGTATGCAGACAAATGACAGTGAAAGTGCATTTTTTTTTCCCAAGATACTTGTTATTTTTCTAAAGGTTAAGCAGTTTCTTCAGAGACCTGCAGGTAATTCCAAATTAAATTTGCCATAAAACAAAACCATGCAGTACAAGATGCAAACTGTGACAGTTGCTTTTTGTTTGATTACTAAGAAAATAAGAACATACCATCTGCAGTTTCTTCTTATCCTTATTAGCAGTACTGTGTGCAGCCTCAATTGCAGTATGGTGTTTCCATGCCAATTCTTCTAAGGTCTTGGAATGAGCCTCCTTTAACTGTGCAGCCTCTCCTTCCAATCTTGCTTGTAATTTTACCAGCTCCTTCTCATAATATTCACGTTGTGTTTCCCTTGCTTCATTTACTTTCTATAAAGTATAGGAAAAGAGATCTGTTCAATGGTAAAAAAATCTGAGCAGTAGGAATAAAAAAAAAAAAAACCAAAAAAATTACTGATGACATAAATCTGCAAAAAATTAACTTCCATGTAAAACAAATTGAGAAAACACTAAGCACTGACTACATGATTCAGAAACCAAAAAGGTAATTTTAAAAGATCTATGCAAAACAATACATACTTACTTAAAATGAAATTTTTCCTCTATTTAATCTCAGAAAACATCAATCAGGTATCAAGCCTATAGAGAATTTCTGTTTACTATTTTCAAACATGTTCAATGCATTTTCAGCAAATGGCTTTATAAACTATTCTTTAATCATTTCACATTTGTCTTTCCTCAGACAATTTAGATATTAGTCATATACAAATAAGGTCATAAATCAAATGAAATTGTTAAAAGATTGTCCAAAGCAGTATGAACATTTCATCTGACTTTCCTATAATCTCACTTTACACTCTACATTAGTCATTCTTTGTTGCTACATGAGATATACTTGAAACATACTGGTCCTAGTCTGGTCACATCAAACAAAAATTAAAGCACTTTTTTTTTTTCTGAGAATCCTAGTTTTTTGATTTTATTCAACTAAAGCAATTGAGGTGTTTAACCTTCTCCAATGCCAGAATTTGCTGCCTTTGTCGCTCATCCAGACTCTGTGTTTTGCTTTGTAATAAATTTCTTTCCTCTTCCAGCTGGGACAATTTTTCCTTTAATCTAGCCTTCTCTGATTCCAAGTCTCTGATTGTAACTTCTTGAGTCATTTGAGTAGCTTGAAGCATTCCAATGTGACCTAAAAACAAAACAGCTCTTTAAAACCTCATGGCATTGGTATCATGCAATTGAAGCACACATTCATATTCCAGTGATAGTACAAATCCAGCGGAAGCTTGCATATGGATCTCCAATGCCTTCACTACAATACTTTCCTTCCTCTCCACTTCTCACCTTTTTAGTTTTATTGTAAAATGCCCAAGAACACTGTGCACTGGAACTCCTTTCATTTCAATTTTCCTTGTTCAAAATTACGTGTTGACTCCCAAAGGAAAGCAGAAGTAGGCAATTCTAAGGACACTAAAGAACTGATCCCAACTAAACCTGCAAATTTCTATTCTAGAACAAGATAGATAACAGAAAATAGAACACTGATGTCTAAAGATAAACATGTCATTGTTTTATCAAACTCATAATTTAGTTGGCATACTAGATACATAGATTTATCTGCTGTGAAACTTATGGAATTACACTTTATTTTGCTAAAAGGATATGACTAAAAGATATAAAAATCTCTCTCTATAGTATGATCTAAATTCTTGCAGGTTGAAAGCTTCCTTTTAATTTCTTTACATATATTTTTGAAAACAAACAAACAAAAGAATAAAACTTCAAACGACACAATATAATAATCTGTCCTTCACATAACCAGTTGACAAAGATTTATGACTTCAGAAATTTGTCTGTTCTTCTTGATTCTTGTTCTTGTTCTTGTAGGTAACTGACTAAAGCAGTGAAATTTCTGTTATTTTGGGAGAGGTTTTGGAGTGAATAGAAGACTGTTTAGAAAAAGAGGATGCTTCTAGTTTGGTCCAGCTGAAAGACAGGAGGTATTGTTTACTCAGAATAATTTTCTACTGTTTTTTGTACTCTCAATTTCTAGAGAAGACTGTTGTTTTCCTTCTAATTTTATTATAATGTCCAAAAATGATGGATTTAATGACGGTTCAGTCTTATAATCAAGTACTGCTTTTAAATTAAGGGATAACTAAGGGATAGCTCTTGAAGTGGAGTATATGCTGTTTCTCACATGACAAAGTCACTGAGCTTCATGATTCGTTTCCATTTGTTGTTAAAAGCAAGATGTGCCAAAAAGGAAACTGTTCTAGCCTTTGTTGCCTGTGGACACAAGGGAAGAGCCATGAGATATATAATGAAAACTAGAAATTAAAAATACCTCACAATTGATAGTAATTGCATTAAAAATGCACACCTCTAATTGTACTAAGCCCTGCAGAATTCTAAAACTTACATCAACATTTTTGTTTGTAAAACTGAAAACCAAAGATGAAGACTTAGAACAATGGGTATGCTTAAGTTCTCTAACATTTTTTAAAAATCCTTATTTCAAAAGTTTAGCCATTTAAGAAAGGTACTTTCAAACCCTAAATTTTATAATCTAACAATAAGAGTAATAATACAAGAATTTTCAATTTGTCATACAAGTATGCCATACATATTTCATTGTAAGCACACTCACACACTGATCTAGAGCTTTTATCTTAGCAATAGTAACACACAAGACAGGTTTCCCATTCCTCATGCTCTACAAAAAAGGTATGAAATGCAGCACTTTCCTTACAAGTTGGGAACCTCAGGATAAATGGAAGAATATTTTAAATGACCAGAAAAGACACAATAGACTGTCCTAAAATTGCAGTATGATGAGTAAACATTCTTTATGATAATTAAGTATGAGAATTCAGTTTCTTTGAGGAAGGATTTTTGAAGGATTTCAGCGTGAGCTGAAAATCAAGGAGATGGCAGTGGGCCAGTGTCAGAAGGCAAACAAACAGGCTGGCAACCAACTACACCACATGGCAATGGCTTGGTGGCACCACTGCAAACAGGGATCCTGGTTCTTGTTGCACACTGATGCACTATAAAACAAAGATGTACCGCTCACAGCACCACTGAGCTTGGCAACAGCACAGACACACTGGGACTTCTGGTAAATCTGAAAATCCTGGTGCCAGAGGACACCAGAGCTGGCCTCAATCACAGGCAAGCTGACTCTGCGCTATCAGGAATGAAGAAAAACAGCCTGAGTATTTACTTCCACTGTACCTTTGTACCCCATTTGGGGCGGCCTGGTGAAATCTTCCCATGCTCTTGCCTAAGGAATGAAACAGCAATGGCTTTAGAGTGTATGAGAACAGGGCTCTCACTGCCTCACAAAACACCTTTTGAAGGGTCAGTTTCCCATTTTACATACTCTCAGCAGCAAACCTATTCCTTTTAGCTGATTGATCTAATAGGACCTTGCTGTCTTGGGCCCCTGCTGGCCACAATATTGTTCTAATATATGGCCTAGACTACTCCTGGGCTTCTGGTAATTTGTGTGGAAAACAATCAAGAATTGCTATAACTGGTCTAGTTCAGCAAGGCCAAAGATAAGCAAGGGACCTCTTTATAAGCCCAAGACCCTACCTATTGTTTAGCTGTCCAAGTTCAAGTACTGAGGTCCATGCCTACTACTGAGCACACTAGGAAGACAATGCCAAAGCGGGAAAAGAAATCTGCATGTGTACAGTCAGGTCTTAAAGCTATTTTTTGTGCCTTTCCACATGCCAGCAACTACAAAGAAGCTAAGAAAATAGCTATAGAGAAAACTTTAAAGGATTTATTATTCAATAAGCTGCAAATCTTCTCACAGTAGGTACAAAGCAAAGTACCACAGTGTTGATATATTTTATATATTAGTAAAGGCCTGTATGCACAAACCAGCCTTTGAAATAAGTTGTGATATTAAGGGCTAAAATCCTTGAAACTTGCCTGAAGAATATAGAGTAAAGCAAAACAATATGCTTGTGTGTAGGAAAAAAAAGTTAACCTGTGTGTGTTAGCCAATAGTAGCCTGCTCTGCCCGCAGACCCTGTAAAACCTTATAAAAGGTGTGCTAAAGATAGAAATAAACGGTGTTCACGTTTACTTCTGTGAAGGCTGGTGAATAAACTGGCGGTCTCTCAATACCACAGCACCAGCAAAAAGAAGAAACAACGGAAAAAAGGTGGAAGAACAGGAAGTAAGGTTCAGTTATTATGTGGACAGATACAGAGCAGAATTGTTCAGTTAATAAGTGCAGTTTCAAGGCCTGGAAGATACGTACATGCCATACAAAGTACAGCATTTGGACAAATGAGTACACTAAAAAGAAAATTTAAATACAATGCATGTGATAAAAAAAATAATAAAAACCCAAAACTTAGTGGAAAATTCTATGGAAAGCCTTAAACCATCTTTAGGCACTCTAAACCTGCATGAGGATGACAGAAAAAGGAAAGGCTAGAATAAAAGGATGAAGTTCGTTTCCAGATTAAGTTACTGACATACATACTGGCTTTGAGAACAAGATCAGTGGCCTGCTGCTGTAAGCGCTCTCTAGCAGCTGCAAGCTCGCTTTCCACTTCTTTGTGTTTGCTTAACAATGACATCTCCTCCTCCTTCACATCATCTAGCTGTTTTTGAAGAACCTAGAGGAAACACATAATACCTGTTACCATCATATACAATCATGTCAATTTAAATGATCATTACATTAAAAGGTACAGGAGAGACCTTTCAGCAAACAAGTTTTATTTACACAAAAGCTGAAATAGTGTAATATTATTGCCAAATTCATTGTGTATTATATGTAATGCTTCAAAAATAGTTTTTGAAGAACATGATAGTGGATACATAGCATGACAGTAATATATAAGAGAAATGTGACAATATTCAAAAAGGTATATGAAAAAAACCAATACTATAAAAAGATCCACAGAGTTTGGGGGTCAACTTCAGAAACCTGGTTTCTGGTATCTGACAGTTTTTCACCTTAAAGAATACATTATGTGTTCACAGCAGTTTAATGTCCTACATTGCAACTCTGAGTGTTTACTACTGACTTAAATTAAGCTATGTATGGAGATAGATAAAATGAGAACTGGGCAATTGCATCAAACATTCCCAGGGGTCACTACTGGGACCAGCATTTTTCAGCATGTTTCTCAGCAACATGGGCAGTGATACCGGGTCCGTGTCTGTGATGATACCAAGCTCTGTGGTGCAGTCAACTCGCTGGAGGGAAGGGATATCATCCTCAGGGACCTTGGCAGGCTTGAGAGATGGGACTGGGCAAACTTCATGGAGTTCAACAACGCCAGGAGCAAGGTCCTGCACCTGGATCAGGACAATCCCAAGCACAAAAACAGGCTGGGTGGAGACTAGCCCTGGGGAGAAGGACTCTGGGATGAAAAGTTCAGTATGACTTAGCCATGTGCACTCACGGCCCAGAAAGCCAATCATGTCTTGGAATGCAGCAAAAGCAGCATGGCCAGCAGGTCACAGAAGGTGGTTCTGTTCCTCTACTCTGTTCTTTTTAGACCCCACTTTCACTACCGTCTAGGTGTGGGGGCCCAACACAAGAAAGACAAGGACCTGTCGAAAAAAATCCAGAGGAGGGCACTAAATCACTAAATCACAGGGCTGGATCACTTCTGTTATCAAGACAGACTGAAAGAATGTTCAGCCTGGAGAAGGTTCTTGTGGACACCTTTGAGCAGCCTTCCAGTATCTAAAGAAGGCCTACAAGAGAGCTGAGAAAGAACTTTTGACAAAGACATACGGTGGTAAGATGGGGGGAGCTGCTTTAAGTTGAAGGAGAATAGGTTTAGATTAGATATGATGAAGAAATTCTTCACCCTGTGAGGGTGGTGAGGCACTGGAACAGTCCACACAGAGTCTAAGAATGCCTCATCCCTCGAAGGTGTTCAAGGCTGGATGGGACTCTAAACAAGCTGGTCTAGTGCAAGGCATTCCAATCCATGACAGAGGGTTTGGAACTAGATGATCTTTAGTGTCCCTTCCAACCCAAACTATTCTATTGTTCTATGATTTTAAACTTTTATTACGCCTTAATTCAGATGTACTGATTCACAATAGCTTATCTTGGACAGTGTAATGAGTTCTAGCCATTCAGGAAGGAAAAGAAAATATTGTTCTGGTTCAAAAGGAAATATAGATTTCTTATAATTCAAGTCACTGAAATAGTAAAGAGTCTTTTCAGCAACTAAAGCAGAAGAGAGAATTGGGGAAAACACTGTACAGGATGTGTAATGAATAGACATCAGATATGGTGAGATTATACATTTGATCACCTCATCCACAGCAATCAGAGTAGAACCTGATTTTAAATTCTGCTGCAGATACCATACTAGATTCTTCTTCTTTGGGAACAACATTCCTTTACTGCAGGAATGATCAACATACAACTGGTTGTATATTATACATGATATAATATTACATATGTATTATGTATGTTATACCTTCACTGCAGCTTTCCATAAACCCACCTCCTGAAGCCCCGTGCAGAAGAGGCAGAGATGTGTGATGAACTGACTGCAGGCACCCTTCACTATCTCCTTGCATCAATGTAGGGGAAGAGGTTACAGAATTGGGAATAAAATTAAGCCCAGGAAAGATGAAGGGGTGGAGAGAAAGTGCTCTTTTAAGATTTGGTTTTACTTCTCATTATCCTACTTTGATCTGATTAGTAATAAATTAAATTCTTTTTCCAAAGTTGAGTCTGTTTAGCCCATGATGGTAACTGATAAGTGATCTCTCCCTCTTCTTATCTCAACTCAGAAGCTTTTCATTATAGTCTCTCTTCTCTGCTCAGCTGAAGAAAAGGATGACAGAGCAGCTTTGGTGAGCACTTGGCATGCAGCCAGGGTCAACCCAACACATAAAATAAAATTGCGTTAGTGTTTAACCCGGTAAGCAGCTAAGTATGACACTGTCACTTGCTCTCTACTGCTTAAGTGGGACAGGGAAGGGAAAATTAGAAAGGTAAAAGTGGGAAAACTCATGGGTTGAGATGAAGACTGTTTAACAGATAAAACAAATGCCACACACATACAAGCAAAATAAAACAAGGAATTCATTCACCACTTCCCATGGGCAGGCAGGCATTCAGCCATCCCCAGGAAAGCAGGCCTCCATCAGGCATAACAGTGACTTGGGGAGGCAAATGCCATCACTCCTTCCTCCAGGTTTATATTCTGAGCATTATGTCATATGATATGGAATATCCCTGCAGTCACTTGGGGTCAGCTATCCTGGCTATGCTCCTTTTCCAGCTCCTTGTACACCCCCAACCTCTTCACTGGAAGAGTGGGGTGAAAAGCCAAAAAGACCTTGATTCTGTGTAAGCACAGCTCAGCAATAACTAAACCATTCCTGAATTACCATCACTGTTTCCAACACAAATCCAGAACATGGCACCCCACAAGCTGCCGTGGAGAAAATTAACTCTACCTGAGCCAAACCCAGTAACATACTGAAAAAATGTGCAGTATTTCAGTTGCCACTCATGAAAATATTGTTAATTAAACAATTAAGTTTAAAGTAGAAATAAATGAAAAAAAACCTTGAAGATGACAAGCAAGTAAGAGTGATAGAAAATTAAGTTTACACACTCCAATAACCTCAACCTAACAGCCACATGGAAAGACTACTTCTACAGGAAAAGAAAATTCACAGTCTTGGGAACAACATATCATCAGTCTCACCTGAACATTGTTTTCTGCAGTACCAAGAGCCACCTGAAGTTTTTGGCATTTTTCCCGTAGACTGGCAGCTTCATCCTGGACCATCTGCAATTCAGTTTTAAGCTTCCCCAGATTCTTCCGTAACACACTTTCCTGGTTCTGAAATTCTTTTCTTAACTCCACTTCTTTCTCTTTGCAAGCATGTAGACTTTCTGCTGTAAAAAGCTGAGATCTTTTCAAAGAGTCAAGTTCATGTTCATAAAAGGACTGTGCTTTGCTGAGTTTGCCTTCATAGTCCTCAATGAGCTTTTTTTTTTCCAGCCTTAACTCTTCAACTTTACTGTTCAAGTCTTCCAGCTCCAGTCTATGCAATTCCTCCAGTTTCTCTTGTCCCTTACTTAAAGTAGCATTCTGACTCTGATGAGTCTTCAGAAGTTCTTGAATTTCAAGCCTGTGGGCAGCTTTTAAGTCTTCCAGCGCTGTACGCTTGTCCTTCTCATACTGCACTTGCAACTGTATGAAACTTCGCAGCCTTTCCTCGAATTTCTTTCTGATCTCTTCTACTTCCCTTGACATGGTCACTACACGTTGGACATGCTGAGCTTCTGCACAAAGCTGCATATCTTCAACTCTACCTTTATATGCTTCAAATTCTGTCAAGGCCTGATGTTTCATCTTTTTGTGATCTTCCAGTGACTCTTCCAAAACCTGAATCTTTCTCTTGAGATCCATTTCTTCTGCCACTTTACTTTTATACTGCAAGATCTTCTCTCTGGTCTCTGCAAGAATTTGTTGGATTTCTTCTTCATGAGCATCTTTAAGGGCTTGGATAGCTGCTTCATGTTCATCATTTTTAGTGTTCAAAGCATATATTACCTGCAAAGATTAAGTAATATATTAAGAGAAAAGGCATTCTGGTTATCTGTTAAATCCTAAGAAAAATATACCTGGGTACTCTGAAAGCTACTTCACTAAACTGGCTTGTTTCCATCACACAAATAAGACACCAAATGTTATTAAGGATATAAGAGTTGCATAACTGCAGTATTAATCATGATATTCTTATACAACTTAAAGAGTAGTTTTTCTGTTCTCCTTAAACTTCTAATTTTCCTAATGAAAGCTTTGTCATTATACCCATGTTGTTGCTGTAATTACACTGGGGGAAAAAGCACATTCAAAAATACAAAAAAATCTGAATTTATTTAAAACAGTTGAAAACACAGACTAAAAATAAAAAAAAAAAATGAAGAGTTCTTCTGCTGGAAAACAACATACAGAGTATATATCACAACTAGAAATCAAACTGGAACAAAAACCATATCTCACTATATGTTCTTAAATATTTCATTTCAGAAACATCTAAAATGCAAACACTAGTTATTTTGGATTGTAATCTTGATGATTGCCCAGATACAATTTCACTTTTGACAGCTTATCTAGTAAACATTCTGTGTATCCTAAGGTCCCTCACTACATAAATTCACCAACTTCCCAGCTAGTAAGTCAGCAGAACAGAAAAGTTCAGGGCAGGGCAGCCAGCAATCTGGGGAGCCCAGGGAGCTAAGCAGTTCAAGAAGGCTGTGAAAGCAACAAAACCACCAGCATTCAATGAAAGTTTTAAGATAACCAGATATATCCTAAGGGATGTTTCAACTGCACCACAACATAGCAGATCATCATCTTGGTTTTTAACTAGGAAGTACAGATGTGTGTCTGTATCTGTATATATCAGTAAATAAACTATTATGCAATAGGTGAGGTTAATGTAATTTTTTGCTTCAAGAACTCCAGTAATTCTCCCTATACTTCCTAGATATACAGGCAGCAGAACTATAAAACACATCTGAACAAAAAAAAAAAAAAAAAAAAAGTCTTCTGATTAGTGTAACTTGTGTATCTTAAAAATTAACAGGAAGCAACAAAAAATGAACAACAAAGATGCAGCAGGGGATTTTCTTTTTTCACTGAGGACAGAACCTAGACCAGTCATCCATCAGCATTGAACCAGGCAACAGAGAAAGGTTGCACTGGCTTGCCCTCAAGGCTGGGAAATACGAAGAAATCACAGAATTGCTCTGCTGACACCAAACAAAAGCCTCTATGCTCCAGACTAGAGAAAGTGTCTACAGTCAAGTGTTCAGATGAGCTACAAATCCCTAAAGAGTTATCATAAGTGAAAGAGTGTATTCAAGACTCTGGCCATGGTTTTCTCAATTTGTTAATATAAAAAATGACTTGAAAACAGAGGGTTTGGGGTTTTTCTAAATGTTACGTGCACTATCTTGCATTGTCCTAGTTTAGGGCAAATTAGGAAGGAAAACTCCAAATGGGGATTTCCCCAGGGAAATGCCCCTCCCCACCAACTGGTCCGGGAAAAGGAAAAAAAAAATCCTTGGAGAGAAGTGGAAAAAGCTGTTTATTTAACAGAAATTGAGTAATATTAAACAATAAAACTTCTTGCTGTTCGATGGGATGGCAAATCTAGGAAGAAAAAGTCTTTTTCATGTGGTGTAGCTCGGCTTACTCAGGTTCTTATCAGTCCCTCCGGCGCTGGAAAGTGCCGAGGCCCAGGCCCCGGTGGGCCACAGGCGTGAGCTCCCGGGGTTTGGCTGGGTGTTCAGTCCAGAGCAGGCTTGCACAGATCCAAGAAAATTGGGAAAAAAACAAAGGTCTAGGGAACTCTTCTGCCTCAGCTAGCTAAAACTAACTAAAAGCCAGAGAGAAGCTCTGTCCCGCTGTCTGTCCGTGCTGCAGACACCACAGTCCAGGAGCGGGATGTGTGGGAGTGATGTTTTTCTTTAACACAAACTGCGGCTTCTTCTTCCCCCTCTCTTGCTCTCAAAGCCAGTCTTAAAGGTGCAGAACTTAATATATAACATAAACCAGACGATTGGGGATACCAGTATCATAAAGTCACCCCAGGACATGCATGAATAGGCCTTAGTTTTGGTTGAGAAATTGGACAATGTCGTTTAAAAGGTACTATAAAAAAGAAAAAAATCTCACACTTAGGATCAGGTCATTATAATAAGTAATTGCAGAACCCTACATCAAATCCCACACTCAAAACAGCCTCTTGTCCTTGTGCACAGAAGTGCTAAAATGTTCCCCTCTTCAGGCAGTGTTCCAGTTTCAAGTTATGCAGGACTACAATCTGCAGAAAATATAAATCATAAAGCATTTTCAAGGGTATTATGATTTAGCAGTGGAAACCTCACTGAAAACTCCAAGTGAAAAATAAATCCATGTGCAATGCCACATTTGGAAGATACCTTTAAATTCTCATCATTGACTTGCTCCTTACTAAAAGCACTGAACAGCAACAAATTCAATTCAAATTAAAGTACAACTTGTTCCCTAAATGAAGGGCATTCATACCTTATGGGAAATGTGAAAATAAAATGCATGCAACTGAATGTTGCATCATAACTTATGCCTTATAGCAGCCTGAATTCCAGGTCCACCAAATTACTATAAATCTCAGTATTTTTAAAGAAATGGAATAGCTGTATCAGATTTTATCTTTGAGAATTTGATGCACTATATTAATATAGGAACACAGGGAAAAAAGTCTGTACTAACTGAAGCAAAAGCAACTTAAAAGCAGTGAAAAAGCAACTTAACTTCAGTGAAATGCAAGCAGAAATTGAAGTACCTTAGAGCAAATGAATACATTTAAAGTTCTAGCTAAGATAAATAGTTCCTTCTCAAGTAAGTTTCTGAAACTTGAAAAGCAGTAAGGCTGCAAACATTGGAGGTAGGTAGATAAAACAAGTTTTGCACTCTCTATTTTTAACTGAGAGCATGAACCCCTGCTAAGTATGCTTGCAAATGCTTTTAAAAATGCTTTTAAAAACACCAGCAGCCTTTTTTAGTACAACTGCATAATACTAAGAACCATAAACTGCTTATCTGAGTAATTCATATTTTTCCAGCTCTACTCTAATTGCACAGAGAAATTCTTACATGACAGGGAAAAAAAATAAATCATGCTTTACTGTATTTTTAGTCAACATATCATTTCAGAGGGACAGACAGAACTATACTCTATATACAAGGATACTGAGATTGCCAGCTAATACTTTTTATACAAAACAGTAATATAATTACTAATAAGAATCTACTGAAATACTGCATGAATTGGTGTGAAGAACTACAACAGAGTTAGTTAGTACCAATAACGGCAATAACCTTAGTTATGCCAGAAGTTATTGGATTGTTTAGTTATGTTCTATGTGGTAAGGTAAAGCAAGTCAGACCCTGCGCCAGCTTTGGTGTTTTGAGCTACATGGAATACAAACAATTCCTGTTCCACGCTATTTGTGGCTGAAATATGGAAGTCTGTCTGAGAAATATTTTTTACCCCAAACCAGATGTTATGGTTTGGAAAGCTGACCAATTCCTGCATGGTCAGCTGTACTTCATTCATCTGCTCCTCCCAGCAATTTAGTCAGGATAGAATGTTTTTCTAATTACAAATGTGTAATTCACCTTAATATTATAATTGAGTGCAAATTATTTTGCAGCACAGAAAACCACAGTCTATGATTCTTATGAAAATATCCCAAAAAATGCACATAGTTCATTTTCTCTAATTTTACATCAAAATGAGAGCTGATACCTATGAGAAAAAAAACACCACTACACATCTTACACAAACATCAATCTTATTGACTTTGGTAAACCTCCATTTCAGACTTATGTGTGAGTTCCTGGGTCAGAGCACTGTGTTCAGCCTCATTCAGGTGAACGTTGTGTTTCCAGTGCTTCCAGGGTGCTGCTGCCTGAAGACCAGAGTCTCCAGAGGCATCCTCAGACTTTGTCAGTGCTGCCTGTCTCTGGAATGAACCACACAAGTACAGCGCCACAAGAAACGCTTGTGCACAACCTGCTAACTATTTAGAAGATGTGGACCAATGAGCCTGACCTTGCTCTCTGTGGGTAAGTAAGAATTACTTCAAATAGGAAGTAGTAATATATATTGAGAAACAGTAAAAAGTGCAGCAGTAAAGTTCAAGCAAAGTGCAAACAGAAAAGTCCAGTCTACAAAATCAGTAAGAAACATTAAAAAAATTGCGAGCATTATCATTAATTAATTTTATGTAGAAATGTTTCCTCTGTGATAATCCAAAACAATCATATTTTTTTTGGTACAATAGGTATTGCATTATTTTTTCCCCCCTTTTCTTCCAGCAGACCAAATCATGTTAAAAAATTAGACATATATTGTATTTAAGCATTTAAAATTTACATATTATGATCAATTTAAGACAAAATAAAATACCCAAGTTAATAGGCTGGAAAAGTTTGTTTTGCAGGAGAAATTTCTTCTCCTTAGTACATTATAAAAATACGATGATACAGGAAATTACTTCAAAGCTACTTAAAACTCATAAAAGCTGACCACAGTCACAGAGTACAGTCTTACAAATGTGTTACTACATAAAAAAGTAGACAGACAGTTATAACATGTATACACACAAAAAAAAATAAATCCAAACTTTAAAACCTATGTAAGCCCATCTTTCTTTTATTTTTTTTTTTGTTAATTCAAATCTTTAAAACCATGCATTTATCTAGAAAGATTTTTTGCTTCCTTATGGAAAAGTCTCACAAATAGATGACACTTTGTCAATCAAGATCTTTGTATTGCTGATAACAAACACAGAAGAAACAAGCCTAGAATTTTAGGCCAGGATTTCTTAGACATCACAGAAAAGGTGGAAGGAAGACATTTGTTCTTCAGCTGTGTGGTTCATTGCAAGTCTTTCTAAATATCTGGGCCAGTGCATTAGGGGCACAGTACAATGAGTAGGGAAGGGATAAATGTGGTCTGCAGCTGTGAAAGGAGTGTCCCCTGCCAATAGCATCTT